ATAATAATATTTCATATTTTGGTGGATCAGGAATTTGGGAGCTTTATTAGTTGGGTGATTTTGGCTCATGTAATTATAGTCATGTTGACTTGGGTTGCAGTCATCTGACAGTTTGATGGGGTTGGATGGTATTCTTCCCAAGCTTATTGATGTGGCTTTTGGACTCAGTTCCTTGCCGTATGGGCCTCTCCTTAGGGCTGGCTGTTTGAGTGTTCTTATGACTTTCCGCAGAGTGAATGATCTAGCAGAGTGGCCGGGTAAGTCATAATGTCTTCATGGCCTAGTCTTAAAGTGGCACATTGTCTCATGTACTGTATTATATTTGGCTGAAGTGAGTCACTAAGTCCAGCCCACACTTGAGAGGAAAAGACTTCCACTTCTTGAAGAGGAGAGAAGTAACAAAGAATTTGTGACCGTATTTTAAAATCACTAGTCTTAAAACTTTAAATCAAGAGGAAGCTCCTTGTGATGATTAGCCTGTGGCCAGACTCAGAGCGGAGTCTTGGCAGAACAGGCTGTGAGTGAAAGAGGTTGTAGGTTGGCTATTAGCTCCCTACCATTTGATGTAAAATGGCATGAAGAATCTATTAGGAATTCAGGTGGTGATGCTAAGAAAGTGCTAGGTAGATTTACAGTTCTTTAAGAAGTAGTATATTCCTATACATTTTAAGGAAACAAATACTAAATACATATGCTGTTTAAAAACTAATCATTAAATGGACATAGCAAATAATAGTCATTCTGAATGGTGAAGTCTCTTTTGTTTCTCATTCAAATGATGCATACTGCCCCTTTCCAATCTAACAAACTGTTCTTTTCCCCTTGGCAGAATTTGCGGAGGATGACTCCAACAGAGATTGCGAATATGGAACATTTATATGAATTTCATCCTCCAGTTTGGATTACTGACACCACACTTCGAAAGTCTCCTTTTGTTCCTCAAATGGGCGATGAGGTGAGATGAAAATAATAAAATTTAGAAACATGTTTATGGAACACAAAGCAAAATTTATATTGCTCCTTAGCTTTCTTTTAATTTTTAAATGTATACTTCCTTTTTGTAGGTAATATATTTTCGACAGGGTCATGAAGCTTATATTGAGGCCGTCAGAAGAAATAACATTTATGAACTGAACCCTAACAAGGAACCGTGGAGAAAAATGGATCTTAGGGTAGGATTGATGGTATTATTAAATCATTAAACATTAACATACATCTATTTAAATTGTTGATAAATCTATTTAAAAACCTACTGGAATCATATTACTCTGTTTC